TATATATATAGGTATACCTTTCAGCAAGGCTATAATCATCATAATTATAGACATGCATTTTTGTTGCTGTGTTTTTATCTCTCTTTCTGTAGGTGTACAGCCAAGATGTCGAGTGTGTTGTCTTGTGGTTTCTTTATATATATTACACTTATATTTTAATCTCTCTTTCACTCTTCTCTATTACATTTCACTATTCTCTTACTTTTTCTTCTTTAAAAAAAGCCACTGATGATGAAGAAGCTAAGATACTAATATTCACATATTCAGTTCTGCTTTCTACTGAAGTGGCAAAAAAAAAAAACAAGGAATGAGATGATGAGATGATCAGAGGTACAGAAGAGGTTGAACGACTGGGAGATGAAGAGACAGAGATGGTTTGGACATGTCCTGAGGAGGGACAGTGAGTATATTGATACAGTGATGTTAGAGATGCAGCTGCCGAGAAAAGACAGAGAGGAGATGTAAGAAGGCACTTAGAGAGGACATGGAGGTACAGTAGTTGGATAGAGGACAGAGTGAGATGGAGGAGGACAACTCACTGTGGTGACGCCCTGAAGAGGGAAAAGCCAAAAACAATAAAAGATTTCTTCCTGAGGGCCAGTAGATGCGTGAGTTACTCTGCGTTTCAGTGAGACGTTCAATCCTTATCCCTGTTGATCCTGTTAGTGCTCGCTCAGTTTAATCAGCAGACAAAAGAGAATTGAGGTTCTGCTCTTTAGGAAGAAAACAATCTTACTCGAAAACATCACATTTTATTTTTACTGCCTGTTAACATTTTTATTGCAGTGGGATTCTGCAGTAAAGTTTTTGGTTTTAATGAAATTTTGTTTCGATGAAGGCTGTAAATGTAAGATCATCTGTCAGGTGATAACGATAAGCTTGAAGAAATTGTAGTAATATTTCAAATGGTTTTGCATTATAAATTTAGTGTACCCTTTTTACATGAAAGTGAATAAGTTTGACCATGAGCACATTTAGTCACCATTTTTAATTTTCAAAAATGTAGAATTTGTTGAAGATCTGAGGACCGTACTGACATAATAATGCATGTTTTAGAGGTGTCTTCACTACAGCACACCTAATTTAAACCAATGAGTGATTGACAGGCTTCTGCAGAACTTGAAGAGGTAATTTAGCTAATAAATCAGAGAAGTTGGAGCGCAGTAAAACACGCAGGATTGGATTTGAACACTTCTCTACAATAAAGCAGAAAACAAGCAATTTGAATGACTTTCCTGTTCATCTGGTCAACGTTTTTGTCGTTTTATTTGAACGGAAAATAAAAAGTCACATCTGAGTAATCTGATTAAACTTCCACTCGGAGTTTGTTTCACTTGCGCAGCTATCAGAGATATAATTGCTGGGCTGTAATTAGCTCAGGGAATAATTGGAGACAGGACCTGCTGTTAAAAGAACAGCTGGGTATAAATCACGTTAAACGAGTGGAGAAACTCAGCTTACCTCGAGCGGGTGGGAGCATTGTGACGGCAAAAAACAATAATATGAATCCTTTCATTCTGAGCAGGCGTCTGTCTGCGGCTGAACCACGAGGATGGCAGAGAGAACCAGAAGCTGCGCTGAAATTGGATTAGTGAGTAATGCACTTGTCCAGTCTGAACCTGCCACACCTGCTGAAAGGCCTCCAACAAGCAGCTGCAGGGATGTGTGGATTTGGTGAGGGGGGAAATTAAAGCCTAATTAGAAAAATTTAATGTTTTCCATCCATCCATCTTCTGTACACGCTTCTTCCTTTTCAGGGTCGCGTGGGTCACTGGTGCTCATATCCAGCAGTCACAGTGCGAGGGGCAGGGTACACCCTGGACAGGTCGCAAGTCCATCACAGGACCACACATAGAGACAAACGAGACAAACAAGCATTCACTCTCTCACTCACACCTAGGGACAATTTAGAGTTATCAATTAACCTAACAGTCATGTTTTTGGTCTGTGGGAGGAAGCCGGAGTAGAATTTTATGTTTTATATCCACAAATGTCATGTAGTTTAGGAGCAACAACATTGGAGAGGTGTGTTTCTGCTGAAAAACAACATAATTTGCGTTTTTCTACATGCCTCTCAACTTTTCATTATGACTTCCTAACCGAATTCTCTTTTCTGCTCCTAAAAACAGTGACATTAACCACCGTTCCAGTCTGAAGTTTTCATCCCGGTGGAGCCTCCGACAAACCATGAGCACTGAGTCAGCTGGAGGTTAAGCAGCTTATAGCTTCCTGTCCGTCTGTTAAGATATGTATCAATGCACACGCACACACCACAATACTCTGAGAGGAGAGGATTTTCCTCAGTCATACTGTCTATGCAGCATAAAACTTAAGCTGCTGACTTCTGTATCACAACCAGCACAGATCTGTGAGTGAGGAGATTTGTTGAAATGTGTAGCAGGATCCAGATACACGCTGACATTGTCCCCTCCCCTCTCTCTCATCATTTCGTGTCAGGCTTTAGAAACATGAGTGTATAATCGCTGGTTGTAGCCTTTGCAGCGCAGCCTCTCTCTCTTTCTCTCGCTCTCTCTCTCTCTGCAAGTGTAAATGTGGTGAGATCATCTCACACTGAGCTGGACTCCCCGTATGGGTGAGAGTGAAGAGTGGGCTGCTTTCAGCTAAAGGGACTGAATCAAGATTCTGAAGCACGCTTTCAGCACTTTCAAACCAGCCTAAATGACGGCTGCTGTTTTCAGCGAGCAGCTTTACGCCACAGTCTCACTCATCATCTGGGTGTCAGGAACCCAGCATGGGCCCAAGTAACAAGGAAATGCTCAGCAGTACTGAAGCGCCCATAAAACCCTTCAAACTGATCTCCAACGTAATTAGAGAGCGAAGGAGAGAACGCTGGTGATAATTAAAATAAAATTCACCCCACATTTCCTCCTCCCCTGCCTGTTTAAACAAGCTCATTTGGACTCAGTTGTTGTTTTGTCCTTTTTTAAACTATTTCTCAGCGGCCAAAACTTGAAATGGAGGATTGAGAATTTGAATAACGTGTAGGAATCAGATGATGATGAGATGGAAGATGAAAGGTCGTGATGGTGGGTGAGTGAGGTATCAGTTACTCAACAATTTTCTCAGTTAAGCCACGTCAAGAATAAATCATAACAGCCTCCTTAGGGTTAAAATTTTTTTCTTATGCTGTTGATCATTACTTGTTATTCGCTCCCATCACCACATAGAAATAAATCCCAGCAGCTGAACCTGAGGGAATTCAAAGGAAGTGTAAGAAATCCAGATCTTCCACACGTTCAGAGCTCCGGTTGGTATTTATAGTGTGGTTGTAGGTGTTGACTGAGCCGAGTGTGGCCTTGTGTGTTGCTATGCTGAAACCCATTCCCCCACCTCCCAACAAGATAAAGAGAACATAATTCGGAGTCAAGTGAGGGATTGATTGCCCCCCCCCCCCCCCCCTCATGTTTTATGCATTTATGATCGCCCCACATGTGACATTACACTATTAGACTCATTCATTCTCTTAACCTCTCTGCCCAGAGAAAAAGTCAAAAAAGAAGGGAGGGGGAGCGGTGTTTGTCTCCCAGTATGGCACCCGGATAACTTGTCGGCAAACCAACCTTGCATTCAATTATGGTAAAACCAGAAAGGGATTTTTGAGGCTAAGACAACAAAAGTGGAAAGTTGACATCAAACGGCATAAATGTGTGTGAGGCAGTGAGCAACGCAGGACAAAAAAAGTCACAGACTCAGTGTGCCACACAGAGGTATGGAAACCCACCAGTAAACATATTTTATCTTCTTTATTGAAGAATGCATAGTCTCTGTGCTTGTTTTTTGAAGTTGGTAGGTCAGTGCTGAGGCAGCTCAGAGTCTGTCCGTACATTAAAGTTGACCTCGCTCGAGTCTGAGCGGTCTGAGCCACCAGAGATGGACAGGCAGGGCGAGGGCGGGTGAGGAGTGGGCTCCTGGTGGTGCAGAACACGGGTCAGCAGGATAGACTTTCCCTTCTCCTCTTCCTTTCTGTCGTCCTCCTCTCTGTTTGCGCCTCCTGCGTCAGGAGGAGGTGGCAGTGACGCTTTGGTACTGATGCTGTGTCTGTTGGAGTGAGGAGGAGATGGAGGAGGAGGAGGAAGTGGTGATGGTGGGCTCTGGCTAGCGAGGGGGAGTATGTGAACCGGAGTGGCCCAGGACGTCTGCTCCCCTTCCAGATCTTGCGAATCCTCCCAGCAGCTCCCTCCTTTCAGGTCCTCCAAGTCGTCAGGCGTGTCCCGCGTGAGGCTCTCACGGTCCCGGTTCTCGTACAGCAGTGTGGCGGCGCAGATGAAGATGAAGAGGCCCACCCCCATGACCACAGGACCAGCCAGCTTCATCCTCTCGACATGGGTGCTGCCCCGTCTGCCCGTCGGCTTCGGTCCCGCCGACACATAGCCCGCCACCGCCACGCTCATTCCCACCAGCACCACCAGGGCTCCCAGCAGAAGCCAAACACCTGGAGCAGAGCCCAGGCGCAGTTTGGTCCGGAGGGCTTCGCCTTTCCTCAGGTGTTTGTGGCATGCTGGGAGGCAAACAGGTGAGGAGCGTGAGGAGGAGGAGGAGGAAGGGCTGCAGGCTGGACTGGCAGCTGTCATCCTCTGACTTCAGACTAAACACAGACGAGGACACGCAGAGAAGATAAAAAAAAGAAAAGAAAAACCCATGAAAGCAGTGAATGCAGCATCTGTAAGTGAGCAGAGAGGACAGTTTACTCCGCACTGCACACAACAGGAAATAGCTGTTTTAATAAGACATGTGGTTGAGTTAATGAGATGCCAACCTCTCTGCAGTTCTTCTCTGCGTGTCTCTGTGGAACACACACACACACACACACACACACACACACGCACACACACACACCTCAGTCAGCCTTCTGAAACAGAACTTCACTGTTACTGAACCACTCCGATCTTAGGATTTCTCTCCACGATCTCACTGCAGTCATTGAGTCATATCACAGCTCAGATCTGAACTCATAATCTCATCTTAAGTGGGCACAAGGGGCGCTTCCAGTCCGAGATGATGAATTGCCTTTCAAGTTGGGACCCCCCCCCCCCCCCCCCCAGTGCTTTTAGGCATGCATCTGTAGCGTTTTATCATAATTCTTTTTTATATTTATTTTTTTGCCTGACAGCACTGTAACTCGCTATTCAAAACTGACTTCCTGATCTGTTAAAGCATTCAGAGTGGATACTTGCCTTGTTCTGGATGTAAATCTGAAGCAGAAATTGGCTCCTCGGCATCATCAGAATACATAATCCCACACCTCCAGTTGGATTTACAGATAATTCGCACTTTTTCTCCCCAGTTCCTCCTATAGTATCTGTAGTCTCCCGGCTGTCAGTGTGAGTCAGAGCGATGCGCAACAGCAGAGCCTGACATGTAGCTTTTATTGTAAATAAAAGTGGTGCAGCGCTGCTCCTCTGCCTCTGTGTGTGTGTGTGTGTGTCTCCTCCGCACTGTTTGCCTGTGCGCCTATGCAGCCTCTTCCTCTGTGTGTGTGAGTGTGGAAAGGAGGGGTCGTGGGAATCTGAGGCTGGTCCAGGCCAGTCCCACGGTGAGCCCCAGTTATTTATTCTCTGCAATCATCAGCCAGCGAGGTTTTTTGAAGAAGTCACTTTCAGAGCAGTCTCATAAATACATAAAACATGAAGAGGAGGGGAGCAGAGAAATAATCAATCCCTCATTTGACTCCAAATCATGTTCTCTGTATTTTTTAAGAATTTTAAAATAAATACTTGTAGATTTTAGGGTTGTTGTTTTGTTTTGTTTTTTACTCAGAATGAAGTGACCCCTAGAGCAAGGTAGCCCCCAGTGACCTCCAAATCCTCCACCCATTGAAGAGTGTTCATTACAGTCTGCTTCTGTGAGTTGAAATATTTTCATGTTTGCTGATGTTGCTTAGCTGTGGCGGCCATCTTGAATTGGATTGACCAAATTCAAGGTGAACTGCGAAAAGTTCCAGGTTTTAAACTGCTGTGAGCTGGTTTGTTTTTCTGAGCTGAACTTGTGGTGGTTTTTGATGGCCTGGTCCCAGTGGTGCCAACAAAACATTTTCATGAGGGTGGCCAGTGAAAATATCAGGGTGGCACACCAAATTTGTATTTATTTATTAAAATTAGATTGGTTTATTCACTCATTAATTCTGTATTTATTTATTTATTGGGTTTTACATTTATGATATTTTTAACAGAAGGTGGGGGTTCCTTGGGGG